TTCTCCCTCTGACCCTCCCCCCTCTCCTGCTCTCTCTCTCTCATTCTCTCTCTCAAATAAATAAATTTAAAAATCTTTAAAAAAAAAACCAAAAAACACAAGTTTTTACAATATGTGAGAATTTTACCATATTCTCATGGTATATGAATGAAATCTTTACCAAAAATATTTTTTTTAAACAGTAGATTGTAACCATTATTTGGATTGCAGATCCCTTTGGGAATTTGATCAAAACTCTTTCTTCCCACCCTCAAAGAATGCATACAGATACATCCACAAAATTTTTGCATGTAATTTCAGAGAATCCAGTGACTTAAATTAAACATTCTTCTTTTAAAGAAAGATGTTTACCATTGTGAGAAATGAATGGGTCATATTTCTCTTGCTGTCCTCATTTGAATCCTTTTTAAGTATAATGGCAATTTGCCTTCATTTAAATGTTAGGACACTGAGGGGAATGTATTCCTACCTATTATTGTGAACATTTCTAAACGTATACAAAAATAGAGTAAATACTATATTATAATCCCCATATACGCTTGTATTTAGCATTTTCTTTTTTTTATTTTTAAGATTTTATTTATTTATTTGACAGAGACACAGCGAGAGAGGGAACACAAGCAGGGGGGAGTGGGAGAGGGAGAAGCAGGCTCCCCGCTGAGCAGGGAGCCCGATGTGGGGCTCAATCCCAGAACCCTGGGATCATGACCTGAGCCGAAGGCAGATGCTTAACGACTGAGCCACCCAGGTGCCCCTTGTATTCAGCATTTTCAAGATTTTATCATCTTTTATTAATCTGTTCTCTTTTTCTTTACCAAATTACTTTAAAGATGATCCCAGATACTGTGTCATTTCACTCCCGTATAGTTTACTATGTATTTCTAAGGAAAGGTGTGATGTGAATCTGTCACGCCCATTGATTACCAAGGTTGACTCGGCTGATCTGACTGGCTAGGCAGTTGTCCCCTTTCTCCCTCACCACTCCATGTGCATCCCTTCCAAAGCTTTGTGCTCAAAGAGGATGACCTTCCCTGATAGAGGCGGACCATTCTTTGGTGAAGAGTATACGAGTAGCTGTGTGTCTCTGCTAGAACCTCCAAACGAGCTCTCAAGGTCCATTTGTAGGACCTGAGCTGAAATCAAGAGTGCTTAACCAACTGAGCCACCCAGGCGCCCTGTAAGCCCCAGATTTTTTAATGTAGCTAAGTGATTATTCTTTCTGGTTGTGACTAAAATCAGGAGACCTGGCTCTAATTTTGGATCTGCCTACATTTTACTTTTCTCATTTGTAAATTGAGAGATTTAGACTGGTCATACCGTGGGTTCTTTAACAATTTTCTATGATTCTATGAAAGTTTGCAAAAATGTGCTAGTCTGTATAGTTTAGCATATTTTCCCTTTTGAATTATAGAGTCTCTTAATTTTTTGGTTATTTTAAATTGTTAAAGAAATTTTGTTCCGGGTAGAAATAGGATATTCCTATATTTTTGGTAGAAAAAAGGACTTTTTCTTATACTCCTAGGAATTTCAAGAGCAGCTGAAAATCACCACCTTTAAAGATCTGGTAATCAGGGACAAGGAACTGACCGGGGCATTAATTGCTTCTCTTATCAACTGCTACATCAGAGATAATGCTGCTGTTGATGGCATTAGTTTACACTTACAGGATATCTGCCCACTTCTGTATAGCACTGATGATGCAATTTGTTCTAAGGTATGATGCTTTATCAGCTATTTCAGTGTTCGTAAAGGGGGTTTCATGGTATAAAAAGCACAATAGAACTGGAATCAGAAACCATCTTTTACTTAACATATGACGTCTCTTGGGTAGGTTTCCTAACCTCTCATGGCCTCGAGAGTCCTCATCTGTATGATGAGAGGAGTTGGAATACATCATTTCTCAAAATCCTTGTGTGTTTAAGTTTTTCATAATCTTGATAGTATTTTTAGACCATGTTTTTTTAAATGGTTAAATCTGTTTCTCCTTAGAAATTAAAAATTACTAAAACTTTAAGTCTATAATAAGTTAGAGTTAATTGGGCAATTTTTATTGATCCTTTCTTACAGGTTGAAAATAATTAAAAAAATCAGTATCACATGGACTGCCTGCTGACCAATAATGTATTGACTAGGCAAGAGGTTTACCAGTCAAAGCTATCTTGCTTAAAATATTTGTGAAAGGAATTAAAAATAGCTAGGATTTTTTTGGTCAAAAATTTTTCTGCCTAAAATTAAGAAGAAGTAAGTTTGTAGAGTTGTTTTTATTTTTTATGATAATAAACCAGATGTAAATTGAGACATAGACCAAGACTTATATTGATAACATCATCTATGTGCTGGATTTTACATCTTTTTAAGTTCCTGTCATCTCTGATTCTAGGCAAATGAACTCCTCCAGCGTTCCCGACAAGTTCAAAATAAGATTGAAAAGGAAAGAATGTTAAGAGAATCCTTAAAGGAATATCAGAAAATCAGCAATCAAGTGGACCTTTCCAGTGTTTGTGCTCAGTATAGACAAGGTGAGAAACAAAATGTTTTTCATATCTTTTTCTTAACTCAGGAGAAAAACGACTGAATAAAACAAGCTACTGATAAAGAGCCTCTTAGCAGAAGCAAACCCCTCTTTAATAAACTTCACTTTCCCAAGTGATATGACGTGGGAAACTCATGCCTTGTGTTTTAGTATTTGATGACTACACTAGCCTCTGCAAAAACTATAATGCTCTTTTTATATCTTGAAACATGTAACTTTTTAACACAGGAGTTTCAGTCCTTGTCCAGTTAAACTACTATCTGTATTAGATAGATTCTGGGTTACATTTATTTTTTGGATGCTTTAAATTCTTTTGACTGATTTTTAAAATAGTACCTGTCTGCTTGCTTTTAAATTACTTTAAATCAAATCTAGCGTAATGTAAAAGTAATAACTGTTAGCACAGATGCTGTTTTGAATTCTAAGATTTTTTTTCCATCAAGGAACTGAATCCATCCCTTTTATTATTCTAACTTTGAAAATTTTTTTCCATTGAAGAAAATACACTTAATAGCTGCCTTTTAGGCATGTTGGTACCTTATTCTTTGGTAGATTCCCCAAACATATTTTATATGATAGTGTTATCAAGGTGACTAGCATACAGTAGAGATGTAAAAACCTTGATCAGTATTTTTATAAACCAGCTAAGGAAGAATGCATCCAGCTTAATAAGCCTTATCTCTTTTTCCTTTTCCTTTCCCATTAGTCCGTTTTTATGAGGGTGTAGTGGAGCTCTCTCTTACTGCTGCAGAAAAAAAAGATCCTCAGGGTCTTGGACTTCATTTCTATAAACATGGAGAACCAGAAGAAGACATCGTGGGACTGCAGGCTTTCCAAGAAAGGCAAGTTTTATCACCTTAGCTTCTTGTCAGCTTTTCTTGGTGTACAGTTTCATTGATTGTATTAGGAAAATAATATCTTAAGTACAACACTTATAAAATTGAATTATGCTTTCACTTAAAAATGTCTTTTTATCACGGGCCTAAATTAGGATTATAATTCTTAGTTTAGGGTTCAAGTTTTAGTCTGGTGGAAATTTTTTTTTTAAAGATTTTATTTATTCATTTGAGAGAGAGAGACAGAGCACAAGCAGGGGGGAGAGGCAGAGGGAGAGGGAGAAGCAGATTTCCCGCTGAGCTGGGAGCCTGATGTGGGGCTCGATCCCAGGACCTGGAGATCATGACCTGAGCTAAAGGCAGACACTCAGCCATCTGAGCCACCCAGGTGCCCCATAATCTGGTGGAAATTCTTAAGGACTTATAAATGTTTTTGAACTTGCCTCTGTGGCTTTTATGACACTTTACTAATGTCAATTTTAAATGAGATAACTTATTTGGAACCATTTCCCCCCGCCCACCTAATCTCTAGTTCTGGGTGAAGATTAGTATTTTATTTTATTTTATGCTACAATTTTTAAATGTTCACAAATTAGTAGTGACTGTTAAAGAAAAAAAAATGTGTGTCCATAAAGGAAATATATAACCTATCTAAAACATGTTTTTTATTAATACGTTAATTTTTATGACTTCACCCTTTTATGGTTAACCACATGTTTCTCAAACCTAGAAAAAGTATACAATTTAGGGCGCCTGGGTGGCTCAGTTGGTTAAGCGACTGCCTTCGGCTCAGGTCATGATCCTGGAGTCCATGGATCGAGTCCCGCATCGGGCTCCCTGCTCGGCAGGGAGTCTGCTTCTCCCTCTGACCCTCCCCCTCTCATGCTCTCTCTATCTCATTCTCTCTCTCAAATAAATAAATAAAATCTTTAAAAAAAAAAAATCTTAAAAAAAAAAAGTATACAATTTATATTTTAATACCAAATATATGTGTGTGTGTACATATATCTCTTCCCCAAAATAGTCTTCAAATTATTCTGTATATTTAAATTAGTCAGTTGCTGTCTAATTAAATAATGCAGTTGCTTCTTTTCCATTCTTTTTCAGATTAAACAGTTACAAGTGTATTACAGATACACTTCAAGAATTGGTAAATCAAAGTAAGGCTGCTCCTCAGTCTCCCAGTGTACCCAAAAAACCTGGGCCTCCAGTATTGTCATCTGATCCCAATATGCTGAGTAATGAAGAAGCAGGACATCACGTAAGGGACACAGCATATTTTTATCCTGAAGATACATTGTTTAGAAGTTCTTTGTGGTAGTGGTAGCAGCTCCTCTTGGGAAAGGTAGTAGATCTTAGAAATAAACATTTAAAGATTCTTGATTTCAGGATTTTATAAGGCTGATGGTTATGATGTCCAGCAAGAGGGCCTTTAACTGCTAATTCTTACTATTTTTTTATTTTAGTTTGAACAAATGCTTAAACTGTCTCAACGATCCAAAGATGAGCTCTTTAGTATTGCCCTTTATAATTGGCTAATACAAGCTGATCTTGCAGATAAGTTATTACAGGTAAAAAAAAGTTTTTTTTTATTCTGGTATTGTTAATTTGTATTTTCAAGTAGCACATACATAGTTGAAGGAGGGGCACCTGGGTGGCTCAGTCGGTTAAGCATGTGCTTTTGGCTCAGGTCATGATCTCAGGGTCCTGAGATCAAGCTCTGCATTGGGCTCCCTGCTCAGCGGGGAGCCTGCTTCTCCCTCTCCCCTTGTCTGCCACTCCCCCTGCTTGTGCTCACTCAATCTCTTGCTGTCTCTCTCTCTGTCAAATAAATAAAATCTTTAAAAATAAATAAAAATAAAAAATACATAGATACAGGAAATTCATTTTCTTATCCTGAACCTATCATTAGGTGTTAGCGTCAAGCCAAGTAATGTAATATCTTTTCCTGGTGGGCAAAGTAAACTATTGCTCTAATTTTCTTGTTATTGTGAAGCTGATTTGGGTTGTTTATATTGTGGGATGGAAATCACTGGATTATGAATTAGGAGTTCTAAACTTGGCATTACCTCTGCCATTAATTCAGTATGTGACTTCATACGTGTCTTTTTACTATCCTAAGTCTCAGTATTCTTTAGTCTGTAAAATAAATGTGTGGCATTTGATAATGGCAAGGATGTCTTTGAGTTACAAGTCTAGGAATCAGTAGCTGTGTTTTCAAAGTTTATTGAAATATTTGTAATTGGGGATGCCTGGGTGGCTTGGTCAGTTAAGCGTTCAACTCTTGATTTCGTCTCAGGTTATGATCCTTGGGTTGTGAGATGAAGCCTGCTTGGGGTTCTCTCCCCGCCCCCCATGCTCACTCTGTCTCAAAAAAATAAAAATTAAAAAAAAAATTTGTAACTGGATTATGATTAGTTTAATCAGCCTAATTCAACTTTTCATAGCAACTCTTTGGTTAACTCTGGGAAAAATCATTTATAATGAAAAAAGTTGCCCTCTGTTGTTGGATTATAATTTTGCTTGTGTATTCATGAAGTAAGACATACCTGTAGTTGACTTAAAAATGTTATAGTTACTACATAAAGGGCAAATGCCTAGTCCAGAAAATGTTTCTGAGTGACTGTATAATTTGCAGATTGCTTCTCCATTTCTGGAGCCACATCTAGTCCGAATGGCCAAAGTTGATCAAAACAAAGTTCGTTATATGGATTTACTCTGGAGGTATTATGAAAAGAACAGAAGCTTTAGTAATGCTGCTCGTGTCCTGTCCAAATTGGCTGACATGCATAGGTATGGTATAATACCCTTACTACTATGAATAATGATTGATAACTGACCTATAACTAGATACATCCAGATTTCAGAAATTAAATAAAACCTTATTCAGGTTGTAGTATGTAGAGTTTTTATGCTTTTACTTGGATTTACCTAAAGTTTACAGTTTTTTTTTTCTTTTTTTTAATAGTGTATGGGAGATACTAAATACCCAAGACCCTCTCTAGTCAAACTGTCTTCTAAATCTCTTCTTTAAAGTATGTCTTTAGAGTCTTTCCTACTAAGCAGTTAATTAGTATTCTTAATTAAAAGGACAAAAACTTCTCAAAGGCTTTATAATTTTAAATGTTTTACTAATCCTAGACTAATTTCCTCTGCTCTATTATTGGTTTAAATTACCAAAAAATTTTTGAGTGTGTATGTTGAAGACTGTTAAGAATCTTATTAAAGAAAGCATTGAGGAGCGCCTGGGTGGGTCAGTTGTTAAGCGTCTGCCTTCGGCTTAGGTCACGATCCCAGGGTTCTGAGATCGAGCCCCGCATCGGGCTCCCTGCTCTGTGGGAAGCCTGCTTCTCCCTCTCGCCCACTCACCCTGCTGTGTTCCCTCTCTCACTGTGTTTTTCTCTGTCAAATAAATAAATAAAATCTTTAAAAAAACAAAACAAAACATTTTCCTTAGTGTTTAGAAGAATCCAAGTTTTAATATACTGAATTAAAGTTTTAAAATAGTTACTTTTTTGGATGTAAACTTAAGTATTTTTTTATTTGTTACCTTAAACTGTAGATCTCTTTTATTAGAAGTCCTCTAATATAGTTTTTTCTTTTTCTCTTTTTTTTAATCAAAGAGCAGGAACACAAGCCACAAGCAGGGGGAGTGGGAAAGGGAGAAGCAGGCTTCCCGCGGAGCAGGGAGCCTGATGCGGGACTCGATCCCAGGACCTGGGCTCATGACCTGAGCTGAAGGCAGATGCTTAACGACTGAGCCACCCAGGCACCCCCCTCTAATAGTTTTTTCAAGTTTCTAATGGCCTTTTATGTTCATTTGGTATATATAAAATAGTGCATCATAATTAATATATTTGTATATTGGATCCTTAAGAATTCATATAAATAAAAATAAGGTTCTCCCCTGCCCCCAGCACAGAAATTTCACTTCAGCAGCGACTAGAGTACATTGCTCGAGCCATTCTTAGTGCCAAAAGTTCCACTGCCATTTCATCGATAGCTGCGGATGGTGAATTCCTTCATGAATTAGAAGAAAAAATGGAAGTAAGCACTAAAGATACTTAAACTTTGCCTGCATTTATTCCATTTTCCCTTCTTCCCTCTAGTAAGTCATAAGTCAGTAGCAGTCAGTATTAGTAATTCTACTCTCTTCTGCCTATATGTATTTATTTTCATATTTAGACATAAATCTTTCATTGGGTCACAGGACATTGCTGTAATTAAATTTTTTCTCTGTGGCATTTCAAAAGTTTTTTTCCAACTATTCCAACACAAAGGAGATTATATCACATTTACCATTTATTCTGGAAGCTAATGAGTAGGTATGTGAAGTAGAGTAGGCTAACCTGCCCTAATTAAGAGACCCAAAAGTATATAATGGTCCAAATACAAAGGCTTATTTCTCATTCACAAATATCCAGAGTGGGTGTCCCTGATTAGCCAGTGGCTTTCTTCCACTTGATTGATTTTAATACCCAAGTTCTATTTTCTGGCTCTACCATTCCCTATGGCCTTACCTTTTTCTTCTGTCAGAGGGAGTAAGAGAAAAAAATCACATGTAATAAGCACATTCACTCTCTTAAAGACCTTCAGCCCTGAAATGACATACTTGACTTCCACTTACATTCCTTTGAAGAGAACTTAGTCTTAATGGCCCTATCTCCCTACAGAGGAGGTTGGAAAATAGGGTCTAGCCATTGTTTGGCTGCAGTAGTGGGAGAGATGGGTGTTTAGCATGGTAGCAAGGGCGCTCTGCCATAGTAAACTTCCTGTGAGATCTTTTATGTTGTGATGAAGAGCTGCCAGTTTGTTACGATAGAAATCTTCATTCGTTCATTTTTTTTTTAATTGAAGTATAATTGACACATACCATTATATTAGTTCAGGTATACAATGTAATGATTCAGTATTTTTAGATATTGCAAAATGATCACCATAATAAGTCTAATTAACATTTATCACCATATACGTAATTACAAAAATCTTGTGATAAGAACTTTTACAGTCTATTTTCTTCAACAACTTTCAAATATGCAATACAGTATTATTAACTCTAGTCACTATGCTGTTATTTATACATTGTTTTTACTTTAACCAACTTAAAGTCAGATGCTAGGAATCATTCCTTCAAGTACTTGTTGATTTATCATCAAGAACTTGAGACTTGCTTTTTTTTTTAATCCAAACTAGGTTGCTAGGATCCAACTTCAGATACAAGAGACACTACAAAGGCAGTATTCCCATCATTCTTCTGTACAGGATGCAATTTCTCAGCTGGATTCTGAGCTAATGGACATAACTAAGGTAATAAAAAAGCAAGGTGAATTCCTGTAGCAGTCACCTAATATCTACAAATTCCTTGGTTTTTTTTTTTTTTTTTTTGCATTCTGTAGTAGAATGCAAAAAATGTGGAGATAATCTATCTCCACAAAATTAAGATAAGCCGTCCTGGGGAGCATGTTGCTGGACTGACAGATCACTGCTGTGGTATCTGACTCTTAGGAAGAGCTAACCTGCTCTTTATGGGCTGTTTTCTCTCAAGAATCTCTCAGCCTCACATCAAGCTTCCTTAAACCTCCTGCCATCTATTTTATGGCCTTGCTTATTGTCTTGGAAAAGTAACCTATCTTTGCTTATCTCTCCAAGCTGCTCCCACTCTGTACTTCAGAGCAGTTCCTTTTTCAATAACTCTTGGACATTTCTCCAAGTACCATGAAGCACCCTGAGACTTGTGTTTCCATGTTTCTAGGATTCTTTAAACCCTGATTTAGACAATGCTAATTTTAAAAGACATGTTATTGCAGTATCTTCCTGCCAGCCGAGGGGCGGGGGGGCTGTGGAGGCACACATGTTGGAATCTATTTAAATGCGTTTACCAAGCCTTCACCATTCTTAATCTGGAGTTATGACCAGCTGCATGTCATCACATCTTTACATCGTATTTTAAGAACTTTGGATAAAATCTTTGATCATTTTTAATTTTCAAGGAGTGCATCACTATTAATTTCTGACTCTTGACCTCTGGTTGTATGTATAATGTTGGCATTTTCTCCGACAGCTTTATGGGGAATTTGCTGACCCATTTAAACTTGCAGAGTGTAAACTTGCAATAATTCATTGTGCTGGTTATTCAGACCCTATATTGGTGCAGACACTTTGGCAAGATATCATAGAGAAAGGTAAGTGCTCACTTACAGGTATATTAGCATACGTTATTTAGTGACTTGGTAGAGGAATGCAAACTGCTAGTGGCTTTCATACATCTAGAGCTCATGAAAATTGTATATACCTAAGTAGAGGCTAAGTGGAGGGTACCTGGATGTGGTGGAGGGTGGTCCTCTAGAGAATGTCCTCAATTTATATTGGAGAGGACTGAGAAAAGGATGTGTCATTTTTGGTTGTACTTCTTAATAAGGGATTCTGAGACACTTTCCTCAGAATCCTATAACCAGTGTCTGGTAAGAGGAAAGTATTTCAGACACTAACAGAAACACAGTATCTGCTCATTATGTTAGAATATCATTTGTAGGCTATTTTGTACCTTGAAATAGAATAAAATAGCCAATTTAAACAATTGCACATTAAAAACAGTTTGGGTTTCTAATGGCATGTCTTTTTCTTGCAGAATTGAATGAAAGTGTAGCGTTGAGCTCCTCAGATAGAATGCATGCTCTTAGTCTCAAGGTTGTGCTCCTTGGCAAAATTTATGCTGGCACACCTCGCTTCTTTCCTTTAGGTAAGCAGTAACCTTAAGTGCTATCATGGGTGTTGTGTTTTTTCTTTTGATGGTTTTCTTCATTGACATGGAAAGATAATGTTCTTCAGGGTGGAATTGTTCCTTTGTTGCTGTTTAGCTCAGCTGTTTAATTCTACCTCTCCAGAAAGACCTCCAAAGATAACAGAATTTGTTGACAAATAGTTAGGTATGAAACCTTCTTTGACCTTGTAAGTTTATATATCTGTCTGGGGAATAGTGCTAACAGACGGTAATGATTATATTGTTGGTAACCCTCTACAAGTTTAAAGAGGAAAGAAAAATGGCTAGTGTTTTTCTGCATGGGCAATCTGTGATTGCTTCAACTGCTCTTATTATATATATATATATTTTTTTTTTTTTTAAGAGTTTATTTATTTGATAGAGAGAGACACAACGAGAGAGGGAACACAAGCAGGGGGAGTGGGAGAGGGAGAAGCAGGCTTTCCGCGGAGCAGGGACCCCGATGCGGGGCTCAATCCTGGAACCCCAGGATCATGACCTTAGCCAAAGGCAGACGCTTAACGACTGAGCCACCCAGGCGCCCCTCTGCTCTAATTATATTGAGGACATATTTTTCTTTAAAATAACAAATATTTGGGGCACCTAGGTGGCTCAGTTGGTTGTGTGGCTGACTCTTGATTTTGGCGTCATGATCTAAGGGTCCTGGGATCAAGCCCCGATTTGCATTGGACTACCCGCTGACCAAGTACTCAGCTCTAGAATTCTCCCTCTCCCTGTGATGACCCTCCCCCTGCTCACACTCTCTCTCCCTCTCAAATAAATCTTTTAAAAAAGCAAATAATTGTGTTAAAAATGCAATTTTTTGAACCCTTTAATCAGCTATATTACTATAATTGTTATGTATATGACTCTAATTATTAGAGATTTGCCAATGTATAATGTTTTCTTCAGTTGTAAAACAATAGAATCAGGGTGCCTGAGTGGCTCAGTTGGTTAAGCATCCAACTCTGGATCTCAGCTCAGGCCTTGATCTCAGGGTCATGAGTTTAAGTCCCACATTGGGCTCCATGCTGGGCTTATAGCCTACTTAAAAAAATAAAAAATAAAAGAATAGAATCAACATAAATATATCTGTAAAGTAGGATGTTAAGCACCCGGGATCTTTGAAAAATATTGAGAACCAGGAAAATGCTCACAACATAACATTAAATTGTTTATTTAATGAGGATAGAGACTTTTTTATAGGACCATCTCTGATTTATGACTTATTTTCTGGAAATGGCAAGAAATAAAGTCATTATAATCTTGTAAGTATAGTATTTAAAACTGCCACTCTGGGGCGCCTGGGTGGATCAGTTGGTTAAGCGTCTGCCTTCCGCTCAGGTCATGATCCTGGAGTCCCGGGATCAAGTTCCACATCAGGGTTCCCTGCTCGTAGGGGAGTCTGTTCTCCCTCTGACCCTCCCCCCTCTCACGTTCTCTCTCTCTCTCTCTCTCATTCTCTCTCTCAAGTAAATAAATCTTAAAAAAAAAAAACTGCCATGCTATTTCATTAATGAGAAAAAGAAAAAATTAAAGCTTAATAGTTTTAATAATAAAAAGGCCACATTTGGGGAGGGGGGTGGGAGGATGGGTTAGCCTGGTGGTGGGTATTGAGGAGGGCACATTCTGCATGGAGCACTGGGTGTTATGCACAAACAATGAATCATGGAACACTTCATCTAGAACTAATGATGTAATGTATGGGGATTAACATAAGAATAAAAAAAAAAAGGCCACATTATACATAATTTTTTTTAGGGTATTTCTGCTTCAACTTAGATTTTTAATTTTTGAGCCTAGTAAAGTTTAGGGTAGAAGAGGCCTTTCTTCTTCTTTGGTCCATCTTTCAATGGCAAACAAGCCCCAGGGGGCTTCAAACCAGAACAAATTTAGAGTTTTTAGAAATTTGATCACCTGCACAAAAGTTTTGTATGGTAGATTCTGGGATAGTTGCAGGTTCAGTCATTGGCAGTCTTTTCAGTGATTCTTCTTGCCTGTGGATATGCACATTGGTCAGTCGCAGATTTCAAGGATCATAAATATGAATGTGATTGTTACTATTACGATCTTACTTACGATATGACAGGTAGTAAAAAGTGAGAATGGGGCTAAAATTAGAACCATCAAAATAAATAACTTAGACATCTGAGGGGGTGAGGCACTTAAAAACACATTTAATATTGGGCCTCCTGGGTGGCTCAGTCGTTAAGTGTCTGCCTTTGGCTCAGGTCATGATCCCAGGGTCCTGGGATCGAGCCCCGCATAGGGCTCCCTGCTCGGCAGGAGGCCTGCTTCTCCCTCTCCCCCTGCTTGTGTTCCTGCTCTCACTATCTCTCTCTCTGTCAAATAAATAAATAAAATCTTAAAAAAAAAAACCCACACATTTAATATTTCTAAAATCAGGATGCAGTAACCCTTCTTTTCTGAAAAGCTGTTAAACTGAGGATTCAGTGGGTCCTCTCCAATAGTGGGATTATGAATGGTCTCTATTTCATGTACCTTTCTGTATTTTCCAAACTCACCAAAATGTAGTTTTTTCCTAATAGCTTTAAATTATATAGCACATTCACAGTTGTGCAACAGTCACCACAATTAAATTTAGACCATTTTCATCACCACAGAAAGAAACCATGTACCTATTAGCAATCACTCCCTATTCCTTCCCACTTTCCAGCCCTAGGCAATCACTAATCTACTTTATATCTCTATATATTTGCCTATTCTGATATATCACTTATTTTTATAAAAATGTTTTTTTTGAAAATTGGTTTTCTTTTTTTAAAGATTTTATTTATTAGAGAGAGTGCACAAGCGGGGCGGGGAGGGGAAGAGGGAGAAGCAGACTCCCCTCTGAGTGGGGAGCCCCATGCAGCACTCAATTCCAGGACCCTGAGATCATGACCTGAGCTGAAGGTAGCAGCTTAACCAGCTGAGCCACCCAGGCTCCCCGGGACTTAATAATTCTGTACCAACAATAGAGTAATGAAGTGAGGTGAAGGACCTGTTAACTAACCTTACCGGAGTAAACATTTCACAATGTATATATGTATCACATCATCATGTTCTATACCTTAAAGTTACACAATGTATGGCTATTTTATCTCAGTAAGTGGGGGGGGAGGGGGCGGGAAGAGTTAACAATTCTAATTTCTGATCTTTTTCCTTCTCCAGATTTTATTGTGCAGTTTTTAGAGCAGCAAGTTTGTACTTTGAACTGGGATGTAGGTTTTGTAATACAGACAATGAATGAGATTGGAGTGCCATTACCTAGACTACTGGAAGTATATGATCACTTGTTCAAATCACGGGTAAGGAAAATATTAAATAAAATGAAATAATTTAAAGTTAACAAACCTTTTTTAGTTAAAAGAATATTTTGATTGTATGTTTATAAGTGTCTCGTCATCTGATAAAATTACATCAGAAATATGCTTCATTGTTTGAATATAAGAAATTATCATACTTTAGATTTTTAAAATTGATAATGAGTTGCTTTGCTGTATATCATGATAAAAATCAAATATTTCTTAGTAAACATATTTGCTTTACTCTTTGTGTAATAGGCTAAGCCCATCATTAAGAATCACCATTTGCTTTACAAGAACAAAATAATAGTGTATTTATTCCCTATAACTTTATCTAAAATATCAGTGCTCAAAGATCTTCCTCACCACAAGAAAAAAACTTTGCAATTGTGATGGTGATGCGTGGTAACTAGACTTACTATGGTGATTATGTCTAATACTGATTTGCTATTGTATATTTACAAATAACAAATCATATGTTGTATACCTGAAAATGATACGATGTTATGTCTCAGTTATACCTCAGTTAAAAAAAAATCTTTCTCACCTTATTGAACCTTAACAGACTATATATTTTATAATTTTTATTCTAAGATAAACGATCCAAATAAAACCTTGTTGACCTATATCATGTCTTTTATGGTAACACCATCAAAACATTTATGCAGTGCTTTACAGGGCACTTGTATATCTCATTTAAGCCTCAAAATGAACCTATGATAGGAAATGAGCATCTGACAAGGGCAGAGATTTTAAATGAATAACCTACTCAAGTCACATGGCTAGTTATTGGTATAGCCAGAATGAGAATTAAGATTCTTTGCTGGTTTAGTCAGACTAAGTCTATATAGGTTTAAAGTAAAAGGGGTATCACAGCTGACAAGAAGAAAATAAAAAAAATAAGTGCAGTAAAATAAGCATTTAATATTATATGGTTACTAAACTATCTGGTCATGGTTAATATTTGAAAATCATTAAAAACTGCATTGTGGAAAAAAAAAAACTGCATTGTGATGTTATTTAGGAAAAATGACCCACTTTGTAGAGCTTGCAAATTTCCTGTTTAGGAACCTGTGTTTCCTCTTGACAGGTGTGAGGAGGTATCTCATTGTGGTTTTGATTTGTATTTCCCTGATGATGAGTGATGTTGAGCTTTTTTCATGTGTCTGTTAGCCATTCGTATGTCTTCTGACCATTTCTTAACTGGATTATTTGTTTTGGGGTGTTGACTTTGATAAGTTCTTTATACATTTTGGATACTAACTCTATATCAGATATGTCCTTTGCAAATATCTTCTCCCACTCCATTGGTTGCCTTTTCGTTTTGTTGACTGTTTCCTTTGCTGTGCAGAAACTTTATCTTAATGAAATCCCTATAGTTCATTTTTGCTTTTCTTTCCCTTGCTTCTGGAGACATGTCTAGTAAGAAGTTGCTGTGGCCAAGGTCAAAGAGATTACTGCCTGTGTTCTCCTCTGGGATTTTGATGGATTCCTCTCTCACATTTCGGTCTTTCGTCCATTTTGATTTTTTTTTTAATTATTTATTTAACTGTATAAAACATTTAATTTATTGGTCTTTTGGGGGTATTTGATGTATCTCCAGTGTATTACAACTGAGCCATTAATCTTGTCGCTTCATCAACATTAACTGGTTCATTTTCATGACACTGCTGAGGAATCAGCTGTTTCTGCAAGGGTTCAAAGGAAAGGCCTTTTGAGAAATGGGCAAGTTCCTTTTGTATATCTACAAAAGCTTTATTCACTCTTAATTTTTTCATCATTCACAATGTTTATCTTCAGTGCTCGCTTCGGCAGCACGTATACAATGTTTATCTTCTTAAAATTAGTGGTAGGGCGCCTGGGTGGCTCAGTTGGTTAGGCGACTGCCTTCAGCTCAGGTCATGATCCTGGAGTCCCGGAATCGAGTCCTGCATCGGGCTCCCTGCTCAGCGGGGAGTCTGCTTCTCCCTCTGACCCTCCCCCCTCTCATGTGCTCTCTCTCTCATTCTCACTTTCTCAAATAAATAAATAAAATCTTTTAAAGAAAAGATTAGTGGTAACTGGTTTTGCTTTGTTTTTAGACTTAAAGTTTTTTTGGCTGGCTGTATGAAATACATTCCTGGATTTCTGCCCTCTTAGTTTGTTCTTGGCCATTGTCTTCAGTACCCTCGTGAAGCAGCTCATGCTCCGGGTGATGCCATCTGCACGCAGAAGATCTTCAGGAAGTTCCTTGAATTTATTTTTTTGTATGGTGTAAAAAAGTGGTCCAGTTTCATTCTTCTGCATGTAGCTGTCCAATTTTCCCAACACCATTTGTTGAAGAGACTTTTTTTCCATTGGATATTTTTTCCTGTTTTGTTGAAGATTAGTTGACCATATAGTTGTGGGTCCATTTCTGGGCATTCTGTTCTGTTCCATTGATCTGTGTGTCTGTTTTTGTGCCAGTACCATATTGTCTTGATTACAGCTTTGTAATACGGCTTAAAGTTCAGAATTGTGATGTCTCCAGCTTTGGTTTTCTTTTTTTCAACATTACTTTGGCTATCTGGGTTCTTTTCTAGTTCCATACAAATTTTAGGATTGTTTGTTCTAGCTCTGTGAAAATTGCTGGTGTTATTTTGATAGGGATTGCATAAATATGTAGATCGCTTGGGTAATACAGACATTTTAACAATATTTGTTCTTCCACTCCGTGAGCATGGAACGTTTTTCCATTTCTTTGTTTCATCTTCAATTTCTTTCATAAGTGTTCTATAGTCTTAGTACAGATCTTTTACCTCTTTGGTTAGGTTTGTTCCTAGATAGTTTATGGTTTTTGGTGCAGTTGTAAATGGGATCGATTCCTTGATTTCTTTTTCTCCTGTTTCATTATTGCTGTATAGAAATGCAACAGACTTCTGTGCATTGATTTTATATCCAATTTTGCTGAATTCCTGTATCAGTTCTAGCAATTTTTGGGGGGAGTCTTTTGGATTTTCTACATAGAGTATCATGTCGTCTGTGAATAGTGAAAGTTTGACTTCTTGCCAATTTGGATGCCTTTTATTTATTTTTGTTGTCTGATTACTGAGGCTAGGACTTCCAGTTCTGTGTTGAACAACATTGGTGAGAGTGGACATCCCTGTCTTGTTCCTGACCATAGCGGAAAAGCTATGTTTTTTTCCCCATTAAGGATGATATTACCTGTCGGTCTTTTGTATATGGTCTTTATGATGTTGAGGTATGTTCCTTCTATCCCTACTTTCTTGAAGGTTTTTATCAAGAAAGGATGCTGTATTTTGTCAGATGCTATTTTTGCGCCTATTGAGAGCATCATATGGTTCTTATCCTTTCTTTTACTAATGTGGTCTATCACATTGCTTGATATGTGGGTATTGAACCACCCCTGCAGCCCAGGAATAAATCCCACTTGGTTGTGGTGAATAATCCTTTTAATGTAATGTTGGATCCGATTAGCTAGTATCTTGCTGAGAATTGTTTTTTTAAGATTTATTTATTTATTTATTTGAGAGAGGGAGAGCATGCGCAGGGGAAGGGGCTAAGGGAGAGAGAGAATCCTCAGTCTGACTCCCTGCTGAGCACTGAGCCCAATGCAGGGCTTGATCCCAGGACCGTAAGATCATGACCTGAATCAAAATCAAGAGTTGGCTGCTTAATTGAGCCACCCAGGAGCCCCTTGTTGAGAATTTTTGCATCCATGTTTATCAGGGATATTGGTCTATAATTCTCCTTTTTTAAAAATTTTATTTATTATTTTAGAGAGAGTGCGCGAGCAGGGTGAGGGGCAGAGGGGGAGGGAGAGGGACAAGCAGACTCTGCGCTGAGCATGGAGCCCACTGCGGGGCTCAGTCTCACGACCCTGAGATCATGACCTGAGCAGAAATCAAGAGTCCAATGCTCCACTGACTGAGCCATCCAAGAGCCCCCTGTAATTCTCCTTTTTAGTGGGGTCTTTGTCTGATTTTTGGAATCAAGGTAATGCTTGCCTCATAGAATGAGTTTGGAAGTTTTCCTTTCATTTCTGTTTTTTGGAACAGTTTCAGAAGAATAGGTATTCTTTTTTAAATGTTTGGTAGAATTCCCCTGGGAAGCCATCCATCCCTGGACTCTTGTTTGTTGAGAGATTTTTTTTTTTTTAAAGATTTTATTTATTTATTTGTGTGAGAGAGAATGAGAGAGAGCATATGAGAGGGGGGAGGGTCAGAGGGAGAAGCAGACTCCTTGCCGAGCAGGGAGCCCGATGTGGGACTCGATCCAGGGACTCCGGGATCATGACCTGAGCCGAAGGCAGTCGCTTAACCAACTGAGCCACCCAGGCGCCCGAGAGATTTTTGATTACTGATTCAATTTCTTTACTGATTATGGGTCTATTCAGATTTTCTATTTCTTCCTGTTTCAGTTTTGGTAGTTTATATGTTTTTAGGAATGCATCCATTTCTTCCAGATTGCCTAATTTATTGGCATATAATTGCTCCTAATATTCTCTTATAATTGTATTTCTGCAGTGTTGGTTGTGATCTCTTTCATTCGTAATTTTATTTATTTGGGTCCTTTCTGTTTTCTTTTTGGTAAGTCTTGCTAGGGGTTTATCAATTTTCTTAATTCTTTCAAAGAACTAGCTCCTAGTTTCATTGATCTGGTCTAGTTGTTTTGTTTTCTATATCATTTATTTCTGCTCCTAGCTTTATTATTACCCTTCTTCTGCTGGCTTAGGCTTCATTTGCTGTTCCTTTTCTAGCTCCTTTAGGTGTAAGATTAGGTTGTGTATTTGAGACTTTTCTTGCTTCTTGAGGTAGGCCTATACTGCTATGTATTTCCCTCTTATGACTGCTTTTGCTGCATCCCAGAGGTTTTGAACCATCATGTTTTCATTTTCAGTTGCCTTCATGTATTTTTTTTTTCTTTAATTTCCTGGCTTATCGGTTCATTCTTTAGTAGGATATTCTTTTTTTTTTTTTTTAAGATTTTATTTCTTTATTTGAGAGAGAGGAGAGAGAGCGTGCACGCAAGGTAGGGAGAGGGGCAGAGGGAGATGGAGAAGCAGGCTCCCCACTTAGCAGGGAGCCTCCCTGATGCAGGGCTCTATCCCAGGACTCCAGGATCATGACCTAAGCCAAAGGCAAATACTTAACTGAATGAGCACCCAGGTGCCCCTAGTAGGATGTTCTTTAACCTCCATGTATTTGTGGTCTTTCCAAATTCAGGTTACATAGCATTGTGGTCTGAAAATAATGCATGGTATGATCCCAGTCTTTTTGTACTTTTTGAGGCCTGATTTGTGACCCAGTATGTGATCTATTCTGGAGAATCTTCCATGTGCACTTGAAAAGAATCTGTATTCTGCTGTTTTAGGTTAAAATGCTCTGAATATATCTGTGAAGTCCATTTGGTCCAGGGTGTCATTCAAAGCCTTTTTTCCTTGTTGATCTTCTGTAGATGATCTGTCCATTGCTGTGAGTGGGGTGTTACAGTCCCCTACTGTTACTGTATTATTATCAATGAGTTTCTTTAAGTTTGTTATTAATTGGTTTATATATTTGGCTGTTCCCAAGTTAGGGACATAAATATGTACAATTGTTAGATCTTGTTGGATAGACACCTTTATTATGGTAAAATGCCCTTCATCATGTCTTATTACAGTCTTTGGTTTAAAATCTACTTTGTCTGGGGGCGCCTGGGTGGTTCAGTCAATGAAGCACCCGCCTTTGGCCCAGGTCATGATCCCAGGGTTCTGGGATTGAATCCCCCATCGGGCTCCCTACCTGCTTCTCCCTCTGCCTGCAGCTCTTCCTGCTTGTGCTCTGACAAATAAATACATAATAACAAAAATCTTATAAATAAAATCTAGTTTGTCTGACGTAAGTATGGCTACTCCAGCTTTCGTTTCTTTCTTTCTTTCTTTCTTTCTTTCTTTCTTTCTTTTTTCCTTTCTTTCTTTCTTTCTTTTTTTTTTGATGTCCATTTGCATGATTATGGTTCTCTATCCCCTCACTTTCAATCTGCAGGTGTCCTCACAGAATAGTGAGAACCGTCAGCAAACCCAGTGTCACAGTGCTCCTGCGTTAAATGCTTATTTTAATATTGGGAAATTTTGCCTGGGACTCTGATAACTGGTTTAACTAATAACATAAATGGTTGAAAAATCAGTTGACACAGTTTGCTTTACAACTCGTGACTTATATTTTCTTTATAGGATCCATTCTGGAACAGAATGAAGAAGCCACTGCACCTTTTGGATTGTATACATGTACTGTTGGCAAGATATGTTGAGAATCCTAGCCAGGTTTTAAATTGTGAGAGGTAACTATGAATTAGGTATTGTGTTATGGCAAAAGCTTAAATGTTTTCTAATAAGTATCTGAGCAATAAAGTTAGAATGGGGGAAGATATGGAGATTAACTATTTGAATGATATCAGCATGTATGAAAGGTTAGAGTTTTTTCCATTTTTCACCCCCCATCCTGAATCCTTTCTATAGGTAAATGATGTAATTTTTGAATTACTTCTAAACTCTTTCTGCATTGAATTAGTGATCTAGGGCAATTCAGTTATGTCTTTGAGATTATTGACCATTAGAAGGTATATTTGTTTGAAAAGACCAAAAGAATGTAAATAATTTAATATTAATTTAAGGAATCATCCTTACTGCCTCCTTCCCATTATGATCTTCCAAAGGAATATGGTGGTCATGTGGTAATTCACCTACCCCCTGCATTTCTTGTCTGTTTTCATTTATTTACCATTTACTTAATCGTATGCTCCTTGCTCTTTCTGGGACTATAGTAAGTTTAGCAGAAGTTGGAGAGAAGTCTTACAGGAGGAAATGTTTCTAAATGTATCAATAGTTGATCGGGTATCTTTTCCTTTACAGGAGAAGATTTACGAATCTGTGCCTGGATGCCATTTGTGGTTATCTGGTTGAGCTTCAGTCTATGAGCTCTTCAGTGGCAGTACAAGCCATCACGGGAAATTTTAAATCTCTCCAGGCTAAACTAGAACGGCTTCATTAATTATTGTAATGTATTGTCGTCCATGCATTTTAATCTGTAAAATAAAAGCTCAGTTGGGTCCAGATATCAGGTGCTTTAAATCTAAGAATTTAAGAACAATTTTAATAGAAATGTGTTTTTAACAAGTGGCTAATATCTACAAACAGTACATTTGCCAGATGAATTATTTTTTATTACTATTTTGTTTTTTAATAATCAGGTTTAAAAAACAAGTGAAATAAGATTACTTAACACAAAGATAAAAACATTTAGAAATTCTTATTTTTAATTTAATGAAGGCAGAAATTTTGAATTTATACTATTCATTTTCAAGTTAGTCCAAGGATGTTGATATCAAAACTTCAATAGGCTAGCTGAGCAAGTCCCATAACACTGGATTCTACAGTAATCCTAATATAGGCAAATAAACACTGTCTCTTAAAAAATCATTTAGGTTTGGGTTCATCTTTGGAAAGAAATTTCTTCTACCTACTAATTTTGTCAATTGTAATTCTTGAAGATATTCTTGGCTGTTTTTTGAGCAGGTGGCAAACGTGTAACTAATATTCTATGTCCTAAAAACCTACACAAGGAGATACTGTTTTCCATTTAGTGTCTACCTACCAGTCCTTGTGACTGATTACCGACTGCATTAAAGCAGTGGTTCTCAAAGTGTGTGCACCAAACCAGCATAGAAGCCTCATCTGGGAATTTGCTCCCTGTTTGATTCTTTTTCCTCCCAATCAGTAACCACAACAAATGAGTTTTACCCAAGACACAATATATAAAGTAAAATTGTTAGTAATGTAGTTTTTAGTCTTCAACAAATTGGAATAACGAAACCAAGTCATGGCAACAACAAGGAAGGAGAATAGAGTGGGAATGACCAGGACTAACAAAAAAGCAAGGACATGGACTTCTTTCCTCTCACCTGTTATGCCATCAAGAGTAATTACCTTCTGCTTATTGTCATTGAAGCAGGTTTAACAATTTTTATAGTACATTTTGAAAATAATTTTCCTTCCCGTTTTTTCCCAAGATCATAGGTTGACCTTTTTTGTATTTATTCTCTTAGAATTTAGCTCCCTTTTTCCTGTAATCTAATACATAATATTTAATAGACTGTCAAAATGTCACTCATTAGGTACCACTACCTCTCATATTTTTCAGCTTTCAGTTCCTTAAGTTCAGTTTTTTTGAATATGTAAAATGAATGTAAGTTATGCATTGTTAATCTGTAAACTTAAAATTCTTTACGTCTACTTAAAATGAAAGTCTTGCTTAAATGTTATTTAGCTGTGACTCCAATTCTGCTATAAATATATATATTTTTAAGCCCATTTACACACAAGCATATTAATATATATGTTAAATATACTCAACTCACGATATTGAAGCTACATCTTTTAAAAGGACTGTAAGCTAGCATGGCTAAATGGTCCTTAGGAGTCAGACATCTGAACCCTGTTCCTTTTATCACAGAGCACTTTTGAGAGGGTTTAACAGTTCCAGCTGCATAGCAGATGTTTTCCATACCCTTGGGAGGGAGAGATCCCTAAGAGAACTTAGGTCCCCTCCTTTTTAGCTCTCTAGAACAGTGTTTCTAAAACTTGTAATTTGTAAGAATCACCTGGATAACCTGCTAAAACAGATGTTCCACCTCTAATGTGATGCTGATACTGGTGGTCAGTGGATCAAGCTTGGAGTAGCATTGTTCTAGCACATTTATCCACTGTATTAATATATCTTGTACTTGTTTATTCAACACATTATTTCTTTATAGTGACTATTAAACATATACAGGCAACGAATAATAAGTTGAACATTATTTATGAAACAGTGCATTCATCGTAGGCAATGACGAGTCACTGAAGATCTTGATTGTGACAAATTTTTTTAGGTAGATCATTTTCATTTGGCAAAATGGTCAGGAAAGAAGAGAAAAATCTATTTTGAGTAACTGTGCAAGGTATGGGATATTGACCCTGAAATGCATGTGATGTATGTTCAACATTTCTTTAGTTATAACATATGTGACTTACTAGTGACTTTTTCATTGAACACTTCTCTGCTAATCACTTGCATTTCCTCCACGTTTATGTTATATAGTTAATTTCAATCTCAGGATTCACAGATTGCTCATTCTCTTCCTCAGGATACTTCCCACCTCTTTTTTCCTCTTACTCATGAGAGGAAAAATTATGATAGTGATACAGTTGTATCAAGAAAATGAAGAACTGGAATATTGAATGTAAAGGTCTTGAAAGGGCACATAATTTTCTTTCATTTTCTATCAGTTTCTTCATTTAAATTCTCTTAATAAAGCTTTTTTTTCCAGAATATTTTTTAGTCTTCTAGTGAATCATTTAAACTCTTCAAACTTTCATTTTCCTAAGAAACAAATTTTTTAGGACACCTAGGTGGCTCAGTCAATGAAGCACTTGCCTTCGGCTCAGGTCATGATCCCAGAGTCCTGGGATTGAGCCCCTCATCCGGCTCCTTGCTCAGCAAGGAGCCTGCTTCTCCCTCTCCCTCTGCCACTCCCCCTACTTGTGTTCTCTCACTCTCTCTCAAATAAATAAATAAATAAAATCTTAAAAAAAAAATTTCTTGGGGCGCCTGGGTGGCTCAGTCGTTAAGCATCCGCCTTCGGCTCAGGTCGTGGTCCCAGGGTCCTGGGATCGAGCCCCGCATCAGGCTCCCGGCTCAGGGAGTCTGCTTCTCCCTCTCCCACTCCCCCTGCTTGTGTTCCCTCTCTGGCTTTCTCTCTGTCAAATAAATAAAATCTTTAAAAAAGAAAAATTTCCTCATAAGAAGACTAAAGCTAAATGATAAGACTTTTTCTTTTAAAGATTTTATTTATTTGAGAGAGGGCACGAGAGGGGGGAGGGTCAGAGGAAGAAGCAGACTCCCCACTGAGCAGAGAGCCCAACTCAGGACTTGATCCAGCAGGCATTCATCCTACTGAGCCACTCAGGTGCCCCTAAATGATAAGACTCTTAAATCCAAAAACTTATAAGAACACTTCTCTGCTATAATAATAATATAATAATCATATTATTAAAAAAATCTATTTTTATTCAATTTTGTTCTACACTTCAAATATTTAACAATACTATTATTTTTACTTTTTTTCATTGCAAATAAACATTTCTAAACTGCATCATGACGTTTTAAATTAAAATTTTGTTTTAAAACTCTTGGTTATGCTTTTTGCATTTAGGAAGCTCCTGTCAGGAAGACGAACTCTTTTTTTTTTTTTTTTTTTTTTTAAAGATTTTATTTATTTGCGAGAGAGAGAATGAGAGACCGAGAGCACGAGAGGGAGGAGGGTCAGAGGGAGAAGCAGACTCCCCGCTGAGCGGGGAGCCCGATGCGGGACTCGATCCCGGGACTCCAGGATCATGACCTGAGCTGAAGGCAGTCGCTTAACCGACTGAGCCACCCAGGCGCCCAGGACGAACTCTTTTTAAGATTAATCAATTTAGGGCGCCTGGGTGGCTCAGTTGGTCGGGCAACTGCCTTTGGCTCAGGTCATGATCCTGGAGTTCTGGGATCGAGTCCCGCATTGGGCTCCCTGCTCAGCGGGGAGTCTGCTTCTCCCTCTGACCCTCCCCCCTCTCATACTCTCTCTCTCTCATTCTCTCTCAAAAAAAAAAAAAAAAAGATTAATCAATTTACCATGCAGGAGTTAGGAGTATTATATCTCCAGCCCACACCTGACTTTCTGCCTGTGTAATGAACATTTTCACTTAGATGACCTCCAAAGCTCCTCAGTCAAAATGTGACCAGATCTGCGTTCATTCCTATCTCCCTGAAATCTGCCCACTCCTCCTCCCCCTCTATTTTCTTTTCTTTCCTTTTTTTTTTTTAAGTAAGCTTTACACATAACATGGGGCTTGAACTCATGACCCTGAGATCAAGAGTTGCATGTTCTACCAACTGAACCAGCCAGGTGCCCCCCTCCTCCTCTACTTTCTACTTAAGTCTTTATTATCTGAATTCGTGAAGCGTTCCATATTTTTAAATGGATTTGTTAAAAAAAAAAATGAAATCTCAACTCCAAAATACGGGTATTTTTAAATTCTTCCCTCTCTTTCCAAATACAATCAGTCACCAATTTCTAAGCAGGACTGTTTTCTTAATATCCACCATTATCTGTTCAATTATCTTACTATTTTGGGTTTTTAGAGTTTAATGAGATTACTTCACTTAGATGCCTGCAGTAATGTCATAGTGGTCTTCCTGCCTCTCATTTGACCCTTTCTTTGTTCCTTTTCCACACTAAGGTCAAAGTGGTCTTTTTAAAATGTACACCTAAATATATTACACCCCCACCTTTTCCCTCAATAGAAATTCCAAATTCCTGGTTGGCATTAGGACTTTATTGCAGTTGACAAAAATAAAAATTTGACTTTAAGTTAGTTTAAGCAAAAGAAGAATTTATTATTAGCCTTCAAAACTAAGAAGTCTAATATGGAGCTACTTCCACATGGCTAGTCCCAGAGCCTGGATATCTTCAGGGCTTTCTTAGGTCATTTTGGCTCTTCTTTTCATGTTTATTCTCTGTGTCTGCAGACAGTTTGCTCCATACCTCCTGAGAGAATGCAATGTCAAGGCAGTGTCAAGTTACTTTATCTGTTCACTCTAACCCAAAGGTATAGTCATCAAGAGAAGTCCTAAGAAGGGTTCTGATTAACTCAGCTTGAATCATGAACTCAGTCTTGGGGTATGGTGGTATAGGATCATCACCCAAACCATACAGAACTGGAAAGAAGTGCTTAAAGAATTGAATGCTAGGCACACTGCATTTCACATCAGTCCACTATATGTCACCCTTCCTTGCTTACCACTCACTTCCTTGTGCTGTAATGAAAACTATAAACCCATAGATCCAAGAAACATAATGAGCCCAGAGCAGGACAGATACAAAGTCACACCAAAGCACATCATAATCAAATTCTCAGCAAATAAAAAGTAGAAGGGAACTTCCTCAGCCTGATAAAAGACATTTATGAAAAATGTACAGCTAAAATCACATCTAATGATAGAAGACTAAACACTTTCTCCTTAAAGTTGGAAACAAAATATGGATGTTTCTTTTCAAAATTGTATTGGAGGTTCTGATCATTGTGATTTGGCAAACAAAAGAAATTTAAGACATACAAATTAGAAAAGCAGAAGTAAACGTGAGCTTATCCATGGGCAATTACCTATGCAGAAAATCCTATAGAATATAAGAAAATAGCACTAAGTAGGAAAAATTGCTAGAATTAATGTTAGTTTAGCAAGATCACAGGATGCCAGGTCAACCTACAAAATCAATTGCATTTCTAATTTTTTAGCAACAATCAAAAATGTTAAAATACTCCTTTAAAATAGTATTTAAAAAGCCATAAAATAAGAGGGGTGCCTGGCTAGCTCAGTTGAAAGACAGTGCGATTCTTGATCTCAGGGTCGTGAGTTTGAGTCCCACATTGGGTGTAGAGATCACTAAAAAAAAAAGTTAAAATTTATCAAAACTTAGGGACATACTTACAGATCGTACATGACACCGTTTGTAGTCCAGATGTAAACAAAAATGCAGTATTAAATTGCCTCAAATTAACTGCAGTACATGCTATACTTCTGTAATAATTTAGTAGCTCACCTGTTTCTATTGCAGCTCAAATGTTGGGAGTATCTGCTTAAAATGCCAAGTGATGCTAATCATGCAAGCAATTGTGTCTCCAGTAAATTGCATAATGCAGTAAAAAGAGCTCTCTCATGGTTCTTCTGCATTTCTTATCATATTTAGTGCTATCCCATAAACTTTGAATAACACTAGGGGACCAATACAAAGTGCCACTAGTGATGCTGAAAGAATGCTCAAGAAGCAAATTCATATTACAAGAAAAAGTTGAATTGCTTGGTATGTATCATAGCATGAGGTCTGCAACTGTGGTTACCCACCATTTCAAGATAATCCAGTGTAAAGACCATTGTAAAAAAAAAGTCACAAAGCAAACACTGCAGCTACACCAGCAGGCACGATAACCTTGCACTTTTTGCAAAATACATTTTTATCTTGTATTGAAGATGCAGCTTTTATGTGCACGCAGGATTGCCATAAGAAAGGCATAACTAGGGGTGCCTGGGTGGCTCAGTTGGTTACACATCTGCCTTCGGCTCTGGTTGTAATCTCGGGGTTCTGGGATGAAGTCCTGCGTTGGGCTCCCTGCTCAGGGGAGAGTCTGCTTCTTCCTCTCCCTTCGCCCCTCCCCCTGCTCATTGGCTTGCTCACTCTCGAATGAAAATCTTAAAAAAAAAAAAAAAAAGACATACCTGTAGACTAAAATGATTCAAGAAAAAGTGAAGTCATTAAATGATAACTTAGAGCAAAAGGAAGGCGAAGGATCTAACGCTGGAGAATTTAATGCCGGCAAAAGATGGTTTGATAATTTTAGAAAGTGATTTGGCTTAAAAAATACCAAGATAAGGGTGCCTAGCTGGCTCAGTTGGAAGAGCATGAGATCATGAGTTCAAGCCCCACGGGTGTAGAGATCGCTAAAGTAAAAATAAAACTTAAAAGATAATAGAAGCAGCTTCTGCCAACCAAGAGGAAGCTGAAAAGTTCCCAGATTATATTAAAATCAACGAGGAGAAAGGGTATCTGCCTAAAAGGCATTTAATGCAGACAAAAGTTCTTTATTCTGGAAAAAAATGCCACAAAGGACATTTATTAGTAAGGGGGAGGAGAGAGCACCAGGATTAAGATAGGAAAGGATAGGTTAAATTTACTGTTTTGTGCAAATGCAATCAGGTTTATGATCAGACTGCCCTTATCTATAAAATTGCTAATCCCTGAGCCTGGAAGGGAAAAGATAAACACTAACTGCCAGTATTTTATTGTACAACAAGAAAGTTTGGAAAACAAGAACGCTTTTCCTAGATTGGTTCCATTGATGCTTCGTCCCTGATGTCAGGAAGTACTTTGCTAGTAAGGGACTGCCTTTTTTTTTTTTTTTTAAGATTTTATTTATTTATTTGACAGAGAGATAGCGAGAGCAGGAACACAAGCAGGGGGAGTGGGAGAGGGAGAAGCAGGCTTCCTGCTGAGCTGGGAGCCCAATGTGGGACTCGATCC